TCTGATGTACTTGTTAAATGCTGTGTGCTCTACTCATCATCACGATGGAGCGACGGGGACGAGGGTGGGATTCGAACCGACGCGGGCAAATAGCGACAAAAAACCCACCCACGTAAAACCAAGGGCTTCACTACCTCTGAAGTGGCGTACTAGGTGCCACTGTTTGACAATGGGAAGGACAAGTGGTCGTCGTACGTCATTTGTGTCGAGTCTTACTTCGAAGGCAACAACATCGTGGAAGACACTTAGAAGAGAGCACTTCTTATCTCGGCTCTCGGATCAAGGTCGACAAGTGGTCGTCGTATGTCATTCGTGTCGAGTCTTACTTCGAAGGCAACAACATCGTGGAAGACACTTAGAAGAGAGCACTTCTTATCTCGGCTCTCGGATCAAGGTCAATTGACGTCCTCAGTGGGCGGTGCGCTCCTCGGAAGGTGAACCAACTCACTTACAAGGAAGCAGTGGAAATTTTGCAAGGCTTCTTGGTCCCCAGCTGAATGAATTTGCGCAGAGCTTCAGATTTTTCACTCGTGTTCAGAATCAATACGAATCTGCCCAGCAATTTATTGTTGAGCTCTGTCGACTTGCCGACTAGTGCAACTTTGTCAACATGTTGGACCGAGTGCTGCAGGACAGATAGTATAAGGAATTCGAAACACAGAGCTACAAAAAGCACTACTGTGTTGACTCCTTATATACATTTAATTTAAAGAAAAACTAAGTTTGACCTTGAAGCAAGCCGAGAGCATGTTGCTTACATCGGAGGCGGCGGTTTAGGGCATCCAACTTATAAACGTCAACGTGAAGACGGAACCAGAATTGCATAGGTTGGCTGAAGGGTGGCCAATAAGTTATACAAGTAAGCAATTTAGCAATTAGTGCGAAAGGTATGCAAACAAGACCCACTTGTATCAAACTTGCCCGTACAAAATGCCAAGTGCTTCAAGTACCGAAAAAGGAGCATATATTCGTAGCATGCAGGGCAAGGGGCAAAAGTCAGAGTAATTTTGCGCTAACCGGAAGTTCCGGAGGGAACGAGGCTTATACTGCTCAGCTGTACACAATTGGCAGAAGTTAAGCACCGGTGCTGGACAACGAAATCGTCCATCCTGTACGACGCAAGTTTTGCTGCAAAGACATTGACCTCGTTATGGAAATTCATTCCGGGTCGCCGGTATGCGCAATACCCTGGTTCATGTACAACAGGCACTGGGAAAAGTGGCCGGAAATTAAGGAGACATACCTGAGGTTGTCAGCTACCTGGGACCACTGTCTATCGCTGGTAAGCTCATGCTGCCAATTTCCTATGATGGCAAGACTGGGACTGCCTCCGTGACCGTAGTTTGTCATTCAGGGCCTTGTTTATGTGGGCGCAACCTTATTCGAGCCCAGAACAACCTGGGTGCCCCTGTTCTAAGCCTGAGCAGAGCCAGGAGACGAGACAACAAAGAGCTCAAAGCAATTTTGTCAGAATATGAAGGCGTCTTTAAGGAAGAACTGGGCCTGTTCTAGGTTCCGCCTGTTCACGTCTGTGTGAAAAGAGATGCTGTGCCAAAGTTTTTCGAGGCGAGACCTCTGTCATACGCATTACGAGGCAAGGTTACAGAAGAGCTGGAAAGGCTAGTGAAGTCTGGCATGCTTTCCCCTGTCGCTCACTCTGAATGGGCTATGCCAATTGTGCCGTTGAAGATGGGTCTGTCAAGATCTGTGGCGACTACAAGGTAACCGTAAATGCAGCATGCGTCACTGAACATTATCCACTTCCAGTCGTCGATATCAATTTTGCAGCACTGCACAAGGGAGACGTCTATAGCACCTCAGACTTATGGAACATCTACAACCAGATTCCATTGGATGACGAGTCAAAGAAGTTGACCACCATCAGTACTACAAAGGGCTTTTTTGTAACAACCGCTTACCTTTTAGTGTGTTGTCCGTACCGGCTATCTTCTAGCACACTATAAAAAATCTGCTTGGCGGTCTAAGTGGCGTACAAGCATATTTAGAGAACGCTCTATGGCAGAAGGGAAAGCAGACAGCGATAGCCATCTGAAAGCTGTGCTCTAACGAATCCGTCACTGTGGCATAAAAGTACAAAATGATAAATGCTCCTTCAGGGAGACGGAATTGTCTTATTTGGGACACAAAATAACCAGTGACGTACTTCAGCCACTGGAGAACCTGAAAGCTGGGATGAAAACACCAAGTCTAAGGAAGGGGAGCGAGCTATGTTCTTACATTAGTCTGCTCACTTACTACAGTAAGTTCCTTACGTGTATGCCAACCACACTGCCTCTATTGTACAACCTTCTGAAGAAGGATTGCTGGTGGAAGGGGACTTCAACTCAGCAACAAGCATTGAACAGTCTAAGGAAGCCCTCCAACGTGCTAAAATGCTAATGCACTTTGACCCAACCAAGCCGTTGTGGCTTGAGTGCGACGCCTCTCTGCATGTCATAGGGACGGTTCTTTTTCATCGCGTTGACGGCATCGACAAACCAGTAGGTACTGGTGAAGTACTGGTAGCGACCTGGTTTGAACGTGTTTCACTTCAAGACTTGACAACGAGCTTAGCTTTGGTGTGACTGGCATCGTGTCTTGTGTCCATGCCAAGATGAGAGACCATTAGGGTTTGGACTTTGGTAGCATGAGGGGATAGTGGAGGATTGTTTTCCTATTCTGTCAATGTTATGTGTACTCGGTTTTTCCCGTGTGTATAAAGTGTTGTGTACAAACAGGCCAGTCTTTTCATTTCATGGGTGTCTGTGGCGACATCTCGGACATTCACCAAGAACTTGCACATAGCAATAACGTACCTGCCAACTCTCCCGAATCATCCGAAAGACCGCCGATTTTCGACCTAATCTCCCAATTGTATGAATGCTGTTTTGAATCTCCTGAAAAGTGGCTGGCACAGCAGAAGCGTTTTTTTAATCACGTACATATGCCTTATTACTGCGACAGTTACCAACTGCAGAACAGTACTCGCCACTATACTTCGAGTTCATTGTAATTGTACCGTAGAGTACTGCTAGGTAGGTACCGCACTCGTGGCCGTCGGCTGGCTGCCGCGAAACTCGCTCGCAACTGTACCAAAAGGAGGTGAGAGAAAAGGACAACACTTTTGTCTGTGTGTCTTGGCTTCCGTATTCTGTACGCAATAGGTCTACGCCATCTGCATAGGTGTCAGTTGTGTTTGTTGCATGATTGTGGGTGCTGCGTGTTTCTCTAAGTTCAGTTGGAAGGTTGATGACGGTGTCAAAAGCTAAGGAGTACTTGCAAGTGTTTGTGGACTCATACTCTCAGTTTCTGTGCTTTGTGGCTTCGGGGAAAGGTGTCAAGTACGGATTCTGCACCAGATGCGTCTGTGACATAAACGTTTCACACTGAGGCAAGGTTGGCGTAAAGCTGCACATTGCTTCACAGAAGCATCAGAACTACGTTCATGCTGCCAGCACAACATCGGTAGTTTCTTCCGGAAGAGCTCTGAAAACTGTGCAAAGTTTGCGCAGAATGCCTATTCATAGGATTTGCTGTGGAACGCCGCTCTGCATCAGTAATCACGCAGGACTGTTGTTGCGGCAAATGTTACCGAACTGCAAGGACACGAAGTGGTGCAGACATGGAGGCACGAAACATAATCGGGGAAAATGGCTGCAGATGCCGAAAACACACTGGTGGAGACCCTAAAATGCTGTTCTTTCACAATCGCAAAGGACGGAAGCAATGAGAGCGAGTCCGAGTCGCAAATGTCTCAGTCCCATTGAATCCTGACATGCAAGGAAAACACCCCACTACCCCCTCTGGTCTCCCGAATTTTCATGCCATTACGTTGGGAGGAATGTAATAACATCAACAACACTGTAACAAGAGCACAACATTGAGATGGCATTACTTATAAGGCACGGGTCCTTCGTCGATAATTGAGTCGGTCACCAAGTGTATGTTGCACGTGTACGCGCTCGGAGTGTAGAGAAAACAGTAAACTGAGCTTGGTTAGTGTCCAGTATCCACCTTGGCTGCTATGCACGAAGTCGACCCACGCTTATTTCAGCGCAGGATCGGACTGAAATCTGGTGAATTTGAATCTATTGTCCCCCGTTTCACTGAAACAAGACATCACAGGGCAAAATATTGGTGCCATGATGACACATTCTAAATCAAACGATTCCTTTGCCCTCTGATAAGCGTCTAGTATCTTGTATTCGCGTGCACGTACACTATTCCAGACTCCGCAAGCTCGCTTCACAGGTATGCTGAATGACAGTGACTGCACGGCGCAGGCAGACGATCGAAAAGGGGATGTGCAAGCTGCCATTTGTTTGCGTGTGTGTGTGCGCTTGACGTCATTACAAATAGTCAGACTGCTGCATGAAGTCACCAGCATTAGTACTGCAGCCTGTCATCAAGTTAGTAACGGTCTTGGTAAGTGTGCCATGAGAAATTCGACCTTAATAAAAAAAAAGAAATGTCTTATCAGCATTTGCCGAATGTCACACTTGCTCAGAGCAGTCTCTGTATACAGGAGATTTGTTCAGCAGAGTAAACTCGCTTCTGAAAAAAGGTGTCAGTACCCCTTCAAGTGTGGAGGGGCCTGACGGAGCTCTTTCTCGGGAAGGCACAAAAGTTTCAAGTTTGAAGTGAAATTAGAGGGGCACTTACCCGGCTGGAGGCATCAGCTCCAAATTTCGCAATAGGTGTGAAAAGGCACGCAATCAATAGATGCTTTGAAGCAGATGCTATGCTGACTTTGATATTTGAAAGTGAAACGAGCTTTCAGGTTTTTGCGACTCACTAAGGTTTTTGTTGCATCTATTGCAATGTGAGCATTAGTATTTAATTTTTTTTGTTAGGAAATAGTGTGGTCAGCATGAACAATCTGGTCTGCATACTAATGAAATATTTTTTTTTTTATTATAGTGGCTTCTTGGGGAAGGAAGACTTTGTTGTTACCAGAGTTGCTGCACAAAAAAGAAATCTTTCTGGTGCTGTGCTTACAGGTTCCACCCACACCCAGCAGCTGCCAAGGCAAGATTGGAACAACAGCTGGGCGCTATCTGGTCACCTGCCACTTCTGATGTTTGTGGTGCTGGTCTGTGTTGTAGCCCTTCTGCTGCCACTCAAGGGTACACTTGATGCCAGCAGCCACCCACTGTTGGCATACTTCTCTCTAAGCCACAAGCTCAAGCTAGTCGCTGCATACATCCTTGGTAAGTCCATCCCATCTGAAATACTCACTTGATTGCTTCGGTGGTCAACTGGTGTACCGTTTTATTTTAGCCAAAGTGCTACCTTAATGGTGTTATTTCCTTTGTTGCATATTCTTTGAAGCCGCAAGTACAGTAGGGTAAAGAACTAAAGTCTGTTTAATTACTTTGACCGGGATTGCCCTATTATTGAAATTTCACCATTTTGGTGTCTCTGCTCATGATGCGATGATGGTGCTCCCAAATTCTAAAGAAAGTGGCTAAAATACATTGGACTTGTGCTTTGTGACTCCACTAATTACTAGATGGCAAGAAATACAAAGAAAAAATATTTTTCCTTACTTTGTGGGAAGGCTGAGGAAGAAAAAATACAGTAATACCTCGTTAACTCTCTCATATTTCGATAAATCAGCTAAGTTGAAATTTTCTACAGCACCGAATATTTTTCTATACGTCACATATATATATTTTTTTTATCTCGAAGTATTTTTGGGTCGTGTTGCGGATAACCCAAAATCTTGACTGGGAGTGGAAGAAAAATTCCGCTGCCAGACCATTTCACAAGATTTGCTCATCACTGCCACGCCTGAAGTCCGTCAATTTTTTTTCCTATTTAGCCACGCTTGCCACTATGTCAATGCTTTCCATGAATGCGAAGTCTTGCCTAAGTGACATATAAGCTTTGTCAAGCAACCCTGTGGCATGTTATGTAACACATGCACTGAGCAGAGAGGCCCTCGGCCTACGCTTAGCGTAGTTTGTCTTGTTCACTTTGTGCAGTGCCCATGATTTTTCCTGAGGTGTGATTTTCGTTGATCTGCACAAACCGAGCGGTATGAATTTTTTTGATGATTATGAAGAGTGGCAATTTAGTTTGAGTGTGCAAGCATGGCGTCAAAGCAGTGCAAGTCTCTAACGCAAGAAAAAAGGGTTGCCCTAATTAAGGAAGTGGAGAAAGGAGGCCGAGCGAAATCGAGCATCGGGGAGGAATTTGGCGTCCCTTTGTCTTCGCTTTCGACGAGGCTTAACAATATGCAGAAGCCGCTGGATGGATTTCAAGCTTCTCCAGCCAGCGGAAGTGGGTTCCCAGACGTTGAAGTTCCCTGACGTTGAAACGGCATTGATGGTATGGCTGCGAAATAAGGTCTAGTGCACTGGCAGGGAAAATCGACTGATCTGATGCATCGAGCAGCTGAAGGACGCCTTCCTAAGCTCGAGTACGGCTGCAAAGCAGATAGAGGATTAGGCAGTTTTTTTTTTTTTGCTAAATGAAATGGCAGTGCGGCAAAACCCAGCCGGTTAGTCTAAAAACTGCTGCTGAAGAGCCAGTAAGAAGTAGTGATTTTTCTGAAAAGCGTGCATTTTTTGTGGTGATTAGCGTAACTGTGGTGATTAGCGTAACTTTGCTTATCTCAAAAATTTGTTTATCTCGAAATTTTTCCTGGTCTTTACGACTTGGAGTTAACGAAGTATTATTGTAATTACTTTTTAGCATGCCTAGACAAATCAACAAGAGAGAGAGAGAGATATGGTATGAAGGAAGGCAAGGAGGCTAACCGGAAAGCAAATATCTGGTTTTGCTACCCTGCACTGGGGAAGAGGGAATGGGAGACAGAAAAGTAAGGAAAACGAAATGAGAGAGAGAGTGGGAGGAAGCGACAACACACGCACACACACGCACGCACGCACGCACGCACGCACGCGCGCACCACACACACACACACACACACACACACACACACACACACACACACACACACACACACACACACCCACACACACACACACACACCACCACACACACACACACCACACACACACACACACACACACACACACACACACACACACACACACACACACACACACACACACACACACACACACACACACACACCACACACACACACACACACACACACACACACACACCCACACACACACACACACACACACACACACACACACACACACCACACACACACACCACACACACACACACACACACACACACACACCACACACACACACACACACACACACACACACACACACACACACACACACACACACACACACACACACACACACACACACACACACACACACACACACACACACACACACACACAACACACACACACACACACACACACACACACACACACACACACACACACACACACACACACACACACACACACACACACACACACACTAGAATGTCACAATCGTTCGAAGAGGCGGGTCGATTGCAGAAACTTCAGGGGGGCCTTCGTCGCTTTTCGGCGTTAAGCTCGATCTTTCCTGCATTCCAAAATTAATTTTTCGGAAATTAGCTGGTCGTCAAGGCGTGCAAACACTGCTGACAGTTGTACTGAGGGCACTGACACAAAATATGTTTGATGGTTTTGTCAGTGCCGCAATGGTCACATGCAACACTGTCTGTCCATCTGATGCGGCAAGCAATGGCGTTCGTGTAAGACACCCCAAGCCACATGACGGTTGTCTCAGATTTGAATAAACCAGATGGAATGGTAAGTTGTAGGTATGGATCCAGGCGGTAAAGATGGGTGTGGAGAAATTTAGGAGTGTTTCACAGAAACCTGACGACATCGTGCACGTCGCTAACGCTAGAAAAAAAAAATTGCCCTTATTGAGGAAGTGGAGAAAGGAGGCCGAACAAAATCGAGCAGGAATTTTGCATCTATTTTTCTACGCTTTCGATGGTGCTGAAAAATGAACAGAAGATGCTGGATGAATTTCAGCAGAGCTTCTCCAGGCAACAGAAGCGGGTTCGAGGGTCAAAGTTTCCAGACGTTAACATGTCATTGATTGTATGACTTCAAAATAAGGTCTAGTGCACCCGTAAGGAAGATCTCGATGTGTCAAGCAGTTGAAAGACACCTTCCTAGGCCCGAGTACAATCGCAAAGCAGGCGAAGGTTAGGCCGTTTTTCTCTGCTAAATAAAATGGCAGTGCAGCAAAAGCCAGCTGCTTAAAGTTTCTTGTATGTTAGTTTCTTCTCTCTTAAACCTGAACGAGAAGGAGAAAGATAAAAAACTGCCTTTGAAGAACCGGTAAGTAATACAGCAAACCCTCGTTAATTCGAACTCGATTTTTTCGAAATCTCGGTCAGTTTGAAGGATTTTTGCAGTCCCGTATTTTCTAATGTGAGCTAGAGTGGGTAATTTGAATCGGCGGCCGGCACCAGTCCGGTTAATTCGAAAACTTTGGGAGCCATGTGCCAGTTCCAGATCCCGATTTCGCCGCGAATTCACAGAAACGACGGCCATTAATTGCCACAAGGCAATGCAATGTATCAATACTAATGAGTGGCAGCTGAAGCACCCCAGTCTTGCTACTTATAGCACAAAAAAAAAAAAAAAACGAAGAAAAAATGGTCTCGTAATCAACCGAAACGTGTGCCTGCGGAAAATTAGCTATGCTTCACTGCAACACAGCAGTGACACGCGGGCAATTTTTTGCATGTTTCTCGCAACGTCAGCGTGTCATGGTTTACCTATTTTTCTGGGATTGTAAAAAAATTATTAAAGAACAGTTTAGTGGAAATCGCGATTTATGCAAACCCCCGATTGCCAGTTGCTCCAGCAATTCGCGTCTTTGCACTGCTGGCGGAGTTCTCGCCAGCAACACCTACTTCGAAAACCAAGTTTGACAGTTTCAAAGATCATTTTTTTTTTTTCATCCAAATTTCATCCAAAACACATCGTGATCTTCGTCGTACTGGCCGTTATTAAATTTATAATTTTAATAGAAATTATGTGCGAATGGTCGCATCATCATGTGCTGATGCAGCGAGGAGCAGGCGACATGCTGCCCACCTGTCGCTACTGTGTTGCAGTTAAGATATCTTGTTAACCGCAAGGTGCACATTTCAGTCTATCACGATCGCATTTTCTTTTTTTTTTTTCGGTAGCAGCATCAAGGCCCACCATTATTCCATGTTCGCGGCAAAACAAAGACCAGGTATTACTAGAAAACATCACTTTTGGAGCCGCAAGCTGGTCGGCACAGCAAACGATGAGCACTGATTAGTTTGAATAGTTCTAAGTTCCTTGCATCCCACTTTTTGTATGTTCTGTTAATTTGAAAACCCTCTTAATTCGAAGCTTTTTAGCGGCCCCAGTCACTTCAAATTAACGAGGTTTTACTGTAGTGATTCTTCTGAAAAGCACTCATTTTTTCTGGCGATTAACACAACCTTGCTTATCTGAAAAGTTTATCTTGAAATTTTCTCTCGTTTTTACGAGTTCCAGTTAACGAAGTAATACTTAAATACCTTTCAGCATGCCTAGACAAATCAACAAGAAGTTGGCTGCTTTTTACTAGAGAAATCTTGTTATAGTACTGTTATGTTCAGGAGAAAAGCAAGAAGGCTTTTCTTTTGAACACCTATTAGAACATTTACCATTATCAGGGAATACTGTGAATGCCCCACAATTACTTAACTTTAAAATTAAAAGAGATATGATTTGATTCTGCCTTTAACTTGTGCAAAAGCCTGCCTCTGAATAAATGCTCCCAAGAAAGCAGACGCATCATCAGCTTCTGAATTGTTGAAGCCTTGATCTTGATCATCTAGTTTCATCTTGTCATATTTATTGTCATTATCCTCACAGCTTTGGCAGTGTACAAGAGTAGCAAACACTGTTTTTTCCTTACCAGTCCTTGCTCGTTGAATAATTTTGCGAACTTCCCCACCACTGTAGTGCTTCTTTGAGTTACTCTTGATTCTCCAGTCTATCTTGCTTTCTCTTAATTTCAAAAGTAATATTATCACCCTAATCTTTTGCTTAACTGTGTTTTTGTGACACCTGTACTTTAGGCCCAATTTTCCGTGCATTCGGGCTTCTTTTGGCGTGCTGTGGTCATGTCGAGTTGCTATCTCAGTGTAAAAAAATATCGATTTCAGTCAGATTTTGGGAAATGCCTATGCATGTTTTCTAGCTTTTGTTTGTTTATTCGGTTGGTAACGCCAG